ATACCTCTGATCAACGGCATGGCTGTTCCCCTTAGCCCTTACTCAACAAGCCACGCATCGTCCTATCCCTCGCCGCGCTCGCTCATGTCCATTGATGCACAGAGACTATCCACAGCGCCATCATCTGTCACGGATGAAAATACCTTTCATTCACTGCTCATGGGTGAGCCTGGACCAGAAGTGCGGATCTCAGTCGACTATGACATTCCTTCACTCACGTCTTGCACCTCGACAATGACGCGAGAGAGCGCTTTCATACCTACCGCCCGCATGTCACAACCAAGCCTCCGCGAACAACGCCCCGTCTCGGTGTCGTCCGCTGCCTTTGGACGCCGACGATCAAGCTTGGTGTCTCTGGGCCGCTTGATTAGCAGTTCTCACGGGGAACGAAGCAAGTTGTCCATGGAAGTCACCTTGGACAATGGAAGCGAGGCAAAGAGAAGTTGGTCCAAGAACAGCAAGACGAAACGACTTGGTCGCATGATGCAATTTTGGAAGCCGAGCAAAGACACCGACCCTTCATGATGCCTTGCCAAGAGTAAACCCCGTTTGCGCCATGGGGGGACACCCGAGATTTTCTCTCTCTGCAAGACCTGGCACAACAAGTGACGGATGAGTATTTCTGTGGAAAAAAAAAAAGAAAACAATTACCTTACCAAAAAAAAAAACCACCTTATCATGAATGTATATGGAATAACACGTACCCGCTCATCTCTCACAACAGCGAGTTATGTGTTGGGAAGGGGAAGAAGAAGGATATCTATATCTACGAGCTTTTGAATCGGTTTGGCTAGTACCTTTTACATGGAGTGCCAAAAGACTTGATGAAAAGTCGACGGACAAGACTGAGTCACCTTGGACGATTTGACGCATTTGGCGTTTGATGACTTTTGCATGAGCATTTGTTACTTTAAGCATGAACACATAGTACGTCTTGTGTGTGTGTCTCGTCTCCTTGCTATATTTCCTATCGGAGTGAAGGCCGCGCGGGTCCGAGGTATGGGGCATGGTGCAGTTGGGTTTCGCTATGGAGGGAATTGGGGGGGTTGCGGGGTGGGTTTTTATCCCTTTTATCATTTGGACATATCTGCATCGGACAAGGTGGCAGGTCGCTCGGGAAAGTTTACACAATGAGGTTTGGGAAGTTGATCTCGCTCGAATTTAGACCGATGTTGCAAATAATTTGACTACCAGTTTGGGGCCAGCCAAGCCGCGTATATCGTGTAGATGCACGTGAATCACGCACGTGAATCACGAACGTGTGGCTCGAAGCAGACGTGACACACTTGAACCTTGTTGTCCACTACTCATGCAAAATACGCAAGCAGACGATAAGAAGTCATGGTGAGGACTGCGTAGAACCGAAAAACCGAACAAGAACCAGCAACAGAGATGCCGCCTACCAAACACCGTGATGCGCCGACGAACCAAGCAACCTAGAGAGACCTCCAAAAAAAAAAAAACCGTCGGGGAACAAAAGATCATCTACGATCATACCCGTCTTCGCATGTGCGGTGTGTTTGACCAGAAAGAAAAATTATGTAGAGGTGCCGCTCAGAAGAACTTCTTGGCCATGTCAGCAACAGCGTTCCCCCAGCTATCAACACCATAGCCAGCGGCCACACCTTGTTGACTTCTCGACCCGCCGTAGCCGTAGCCATCGTAGCCACCGTAGCGGTCGTAGCGGTCGTGGTGGTCGTAGCGGTCGTGGTGGTCGTGGCCGCCGCCATAGCTGCCGTAGCTCGACCTCTTCTCCCACTGCATGCCGCCGTCGTGTCCCCGCGCAACGCTGCTCGCGCGGGCATTACCGCCAAGGTTGCCAGCCATGCGGACCGCATCGCTCACGAGCCCAAAGGAATCACCGGACGCGGCCCGCGAGGCGACCCCGATCATGCGCTCCAACGAAGGGGGGATCCGAAGTCCAAAGCGAGCGAGCAGGCCGCCTAGAACGCCTGTCGTGATGAGCGGCATGACGACGAGGATGAAGACTTTCCAGGGATGGCGTTTCGCATAGTGAACGAGGTCTCTGATGAGGCGCTTGAGGCGCCTATAGGTCCGTTGCATGAAGCCTTGACGCGGAGAGCGCTTGTAGTACGACGATCTGTCTGGGACAAGGTCAGTTCAGTGATGGCTCCGATCACCGGCTGACGAACGCCTGCAAGACTTACTTCCAAAGTTGAAGAGGCTCGAACGGCTGTTGTTCCCCATGCCGAAAAGGGAACCCCGCGACGAGTTATGCTTGTTGTAGTAGTAGCCATCTCCCGTGAGGCCGCCGAGCAGAGCGCCTGCAATGGAGTTGCCGCCCCGGGTGCGAGAGCTGGAGCGAGAGCGAGACTGGGAACGATGCTTCTTGCGCGAGCGGGAGGCGTCGCGACGGTGCTTGGAGGGACGGGACATGCCGCCTGGGCCGATGTGCAGACCGTCTGTGAGGAAGCCCATTGTCGAGTCAATGGAGGCAATGCCCAACTTTTGATTGTCTGAATGGGTTTCTGCGCTCGGATACGTTTTGCGACGTGGTCTCTTATAGTTTTGGCGGGTCGTCTGGGGAAGTCAATGTGTCGGGCTCGAGTCCAGATGCCAAAACTGCCCAACACTGCGCTTTGCATGAAGCCCTATTGTCAGGGATCGAGAATTGGTAATTTTCCTTTCCGTCAATGGCCCGCTGATAAGTCGAGTTTGCGGGAAGGTCGCAGCGACAACAATGCTGGCAGTGGGTTGAATGGGCGAGAATGAAAAAAAAAAAAAAGAAAAAAAAGAAAAGGCAGTTGTGGCTCCTGAGATGCAGGTTGATGCAGGTTAATGCAGCTTGTTGGTGCAGCTTGGTGCAGGTTACGGAACTGCGGGCTGCAGGCTGCAGGCTGCAGGGCGGGCAGAGGAAGCTTGGGCGGGTTTGAAGAAGGGCGTCGGGGTCGGTGGTTGGCTGTGGTTGACTGTGGTGGGCCTTGCATTGCATGCTGACCGTAATTCGAGTGGCTGGCAGTTGTGAGCAGCTGCTCGGCTCGACACTGCTGCAACGGCGCATTGAGTGGCGCGCCCCACCTGCTGGCGCCCGTTCCCTGGTTCCCTAGCGCAGGTGGTGCGCTGCCATTCGATTGAGCGGTCAGGGGGTTGTGGGTTTACGGGTCTGCGTGGAGGGACGCACGTGACACGATCAATTGATCGGGCTGCCAGAGGTTTCAACTTTTCCGCATCCTCAACAGCAGTGATCAACGCTCTCTCCAAACTCCAAACAGATCCGCATGCAGTCCTGCTGCCATGAGTCCTACTATAGATGAAAACTGATCTGGTTAATACTCTTCGTCCAGCGGTTCCCCATCCGTCCGTCTCAATCCGCCAGGGCTAGCCCTGTCTTGGATCTGGGAGTTAGCCTAACCGCAAATATAGATTTCATGGTTTTCGAACAACAAAAAGTATCCGGACGACCCTGGTCAGATCGAGACCTCTTCCCATCCATACCCTGTGGCCATAATTGGTGCCCAAGATTGGAACCTTTTTTCTTTTCGAAGAAGACGAGACAGGAATGGAAGTCGTGGCCCAATGTGGGTTTGCCTGGCTGTACACGTTATCGACAAGTCGACTCTATGTGCAGATTTGAGTCAGATGCTGGAATAGGCTGCGTTTGGTTAGTAGTGACTCTTGCAGGAATCGAGGGTATTCGGTATCCAGGGGAGAACTCGCCTGCTGGGAGACGAGTTTGGTGGATACTGTTGAATTATTGTTTGTGCGATGTCTGCCGTTCTTGCAGGGATCAAGACTCGGCATTGAGTGGTGTACATGATTGAAAGAAGTTTATCGGTAGGAATTTGCATTGTCGATTGTGATACGAGACTGATGCATAGACATGGATGCATCTTTGTGGAGATCTACATGGTTGCTCGAACAGGCCGGCTTGGTCGGGTAATACATATGTAGTCATCTGAACCTTGGCCCATAACAGCTATTTCGTCCTGATGAATGAATTGTTTCTCGTGGCGGTTGGCTTCGTTACTTCCAGTGCTACAGTTCCAAAAAAAAAAAAGAGCCCACTCTAGCGTCTGGCTTGTTTTGCAAATGTAGATGACATGGTAGAGAGCATTGTGACGAATGTTGGCCGATTAGAAGAGACTTTATAGGAGAGTAAGAAAACTGAAATTGCCGGTGGTGGAGGGAAAAGTGATGTGAACTGGAGTGAATCCCGAATGAGCAGCCCCTACAAGCTGCAACCGACTGACTCACGCAGATGTGAAACTTTTCAATAACTTCTTTTATTGGAGCACGTTCAATGATTCGTTGCTCTCCGGTCTTACACCTGGCGCGCAGCTGTCACCCTTGCTTTCCCCCCTCGTAAGCCTCTCCCTCCAGACTCGCTTCGAAACTCGCTTTCTCTAATCCGTATTATTCGTCTCTAATTGTTCTACATTGAAGGCCCAAACACGCTTTGCAAAATCGAGGACGCAGAAGGCGTAGTTATGGGGATTGATGGCGCTTCTTCTGTTCGTTGTAGACGCTGATTATCTGGATGATCACGTCCTGGGTCCTTTCTTTCTCGGCCAAATCCAATCCTGCCTGCCTGCCTGCAGTAGCAGCCAATTAGCCATTTGCCGAGAGACAGCCTGATGCCTTACCGTTCTTGTAGCGACCTTTGTATTGTTAATTTGACTTCCTACCGTTGTAACTTGTCTCTCTCGGTCAGGTCGATGCAGAGACACGCCACAACGCAGCCTATCCCACCCAAATCAACTCAATCCTGTTCAGAAGAAGAATAAAAAGAACAGGATTAGAAAGGGGTTGGCACAGCGACTCAGTGAGAACCACGTGATTGTTGATTGTTGATGTTGGCCTGGCTGGTTCATTAAGCTGCAATGCGTGGTTACTCCATTGTCGAAGTGCAATAATCCGTACATTGGCAGCAATAAAAAGCAATAAATCGTGCATATCCGGAGATATATAACTACCAGCCGCCGCCAGCGATCGATTACCCCGTTCATCTCAAACGGATTCGGTCGGATGAGTAAAAAGTATAGTCGAGCCGGGAATCGAACCCGGAGCTCGTCCGTGTGAAGGACGTATGTTGGCCGTTACACTACTCAACCTGAGCTGGTATCTTGTCTGCTGTGGACCTCATTATTTTTCACTATATAGGGAACAATAAACTCACTGTATGCCATGAAAATGAAAATAAGCCGCCAGATGTCCACGCCCAATCTTCCGCCCACTGTGACGCCTCCTCTTTCGCACAGGAATCTTGCTCTCCACAAATCCGAATCACGCAGCAAACGCCATCCCGGCCGATTATCGTCTTGCGCAGAGCCAACTCCCAAGCCTCACCAACACCGGACCCGAGTCGGTTTCGTTCCGGTAATTTGGGCACGACACAGATCCGGGTGGCGGGGTTTTCGGACGCCAAATCCACCCGTTGATGGAGCCAAGAACTTTGATGAGGAAGGAAGGGCTGATGTCGTCCCGTGGTCCGCTTAGCGTGTGATCCACGAGCCGGTGCAAACTTTGCATGGGTGCAAAATGCACATAACGGGACGCGCTAGCCATTTTTGTTAGCTAAGATCTATAGAAATTTATGGAATTTTATCTAAATTATATAAATACTATATCCCCCCCTATTTATAATATATCTTTTTAACTAGGGCTATGTAAATACCTAAAATAGGCTTAGATACTAAGAAAGAAGTAAATTTTACTAATTTTTAGGTATAAACTATATACCTTATATAGTCCTTATATAAAGTTTATACTAGTGTAAAGTTTATACCTAGCTATAAGCTATAATAACGTTTCTTAGGGTTAATAACCTCTTATTTAATTAATTTATTATAGATAAAGACACTAATAATAACCTTTAGCTTATAATATTAATTTTATAGTGTTTTTAGAAGCTAGGCTTACTATAAAGAACCCTATATAGGCTATATTACCTTTATTAGTATATTAACTATAATTATAATACTTATAATACCCTTATAAGCCTTAGAGGTGCCTATTTATTACTAATAGTATTATAAGATCTCTATAAATAGATTCTTTAACTATTATTAGAAATTAAATTTATAAATCTCTTTTAAATACTAAAGGAGACCTTCCTTAAGCTCTATAGCTAGCTTTATATTAATACCTTAGTATGCTCTTTATAATATTAATTAGTTAAGCAGAAAGTAATAGTTTTCTTATAGATTTATATATATAATAAGCTATAGAGAAACATAGGGTATTAATTTCTACTAGGCTAAGCGTTAGTATCTTAGATTATTTATAAGCTTATTAATCTAATAAGGTATTTATATATAATCTTTATTTATTAGCTAAAGCTATAGTTAGTCTTGCTATTTATAGAGCTAAATAAGAAGTTCCTTTAATTTAATAGTGCTATTAGTGCTATTAATAGCATATATATTCTAGCGTATATTCCGCGAAATTAGTAGTAAAGATTTTAGTTAAGGAAGAATAATATCTTATAAAATATGCTAGTAGCTATAAGCTTTAAGGAATTATTCCTATATATACTAGTAGGCGCTAAAGGTTCTATTAATAATAGTACCTTATTATAAATAGTATTTATAAAGTCTTTTATAATCCCTTAAGGCTGATTTTATCTTAGTAATGCGGGATTTAGTATATATTATAGCCTAATAACGCTATTTTTAAGGGTTTAATATTATTTATAAGACTAGAGAGAAGCTTATAAGTATCCTAATAATAAGAAAGAGCTTTTTAACTTCTAGTATATATAATTATAAACGGTTATAGAGCGTGTTTTTAGGTAATATAAGTAAAAGTAAAAGATAATTTGCTATAGCGCTACTAAGTATAACTTTCTTATATAAATTAAGATAGTCTATACTATTATAGGCCTCTTTAACTTTATTAAATTAAGTAAAAAGAAGCCTTATAACTTTAAAGTAAGAGAGATAGAATTATTACCTAGAGATAAGTGTGGCTTCCTTCGGACCTTCGGACGATAGATAGTCCGACCGTGGCCAAAGAGTGGAGCCACCGAAGGGATGCACGCAATGCGATTGGATACATCGCGAGCTACCCCGCTCTATTAGCAGTGGCACTGCACTATAGCCTTACTTTTCCCCCTTTTTACTTACCTTCTCTTCTAGCTAAATTCCTCTCCTTCTCCCTCTTCTTTTCTCTCTTAGTTATTAGCTATTATTATTAACTTCATTAAATTTAACCTCTTCGCACTAGTGTAATATTCCTTAGTGTAACTAACACTAATTAGTAGTTAACTATAACTATAGATAAGTTAGGTATTATAAGAAAAGACATTTTTACAAACGCTATAGCTACTACCCTTTATTATGCTAAATTAATAGTTATTACGGTAGAGAGGCATAACTATAAAGTGTGCTAAAGGAAGATAGACTAGAATCCTAGTAATAGGCTTGTTAGACTTCTAAGAGATTAATCTATTAACTCTTAGGCCTTTAGGATATTTAGTTAATTATTAATCTTATTATCTATCATAAGAAAACTAACTAAATAACTAAATCTATTGCTATAAGGCATTTTATTTAAACCTAACATTAAAAACAACCCTTAGCTAAGTAAGCTAACCTATATAACCTCCCTTTACACTCTCTTTATAACCCTTTTTCTCTCTTTATAGCTTTTTACGCCTTAGTGTTCTAGGCATTAAGTTGCTTCTGCTTCTATGCTATCTTTATAGCCTATTCTTTCTCTTTTTACTGTTTTTCCTTCTTTTACACTTTTTCTGTTATTTTTATTGTTTCCCTCTATTTATCTTGTTAATTCTATTAATCCTACTAATCCTATTTATCCTATTTTATTTATCCTGTTTATCCTATCTTATTTATCCTATTTATCCTATTTATCCTACTTATTTTATAAGCAAAGCTCTAGGCTTTATTATATTAATTATAGCACTTCTACCCTGTTTTTATTAGTCTTATTAATTTAAGACTAATATTACTAGAGGGATAGAACTAGAGGGCAAAAGAATAATAAGGGGCACTCCCTAAAACACACTCCTTTTCTCTAAACCCTTATAAGTATCTTTAAAGATAACTATCCTTAAAAGACCTTAAGAGAATAAACTCCTGCTATATTTATAACCACTTACTAGTAAGCTTATAAGAGATTAGAAAGAATCTAATAATCTAGATCCTAAGACTACTATATAGCCTAAGCTTAATAATTATATTATAGGGTTTATTAACCTTAGTAAGCATTAGGGCTAGAGAGATAATAACCTTTAGGAATCATTCTAAGAGGACTTTAAAGGCTAGTCTAAGGACACCTTTAAAAGAGTAAATAAGGATATTATAAGAGAGTTATATAACTCTCTATAAGATTATAGCGTTCTTATTAAATAAGGCCTAGGATATCTAATCCTAGTATTACTTAAAGAAGTGCTTTATTAAACCTTAATACCTTATTAGCTAGAAGAAAGGTTAAGATCCTTTAAACCACCTTAAATATAACCTCTATAGGCTACTGCTGTAAAGACCTTACCTAATATTCCTAGCTCCTAAAGGGAATAATTACTATATTCTCTATAAGAACCCTTATAATAATCTTAGTTATATTAGGAGCTTAACCCTTAATAGTTTAATTTCCCTCCCTAATACCTTCCTTCTAATAAGTAAATTATAAAGAAAATCTCTAAGCTTATAAAGATATATAAGGATAGTAATTACTATAGTAAAAAGCTATATAACTTCCTCTTACTAAAGCTTATACTCTTTAAGAGCAAGTATAACTAAATTAACCTCCCTAAGTTATATTTTAGTAAAGCATTCCCTATTATATTAATAAAAGATACTAAATAGCACTTTCTTAATTACCTTACTAGTAAGAACCCCTTATATAAAGAGATAATTATAAATATTTATTAATACTTTAAGATAAAGAGTAATTAATAATTTTACTAATATAAATAAAGTAATATAACTCTTAAGAATATTATTACTTAAAACCCTAATAAGACTAAGTCTAAATACCTTAAGATTATATTAACTACCCTAAAAAGAATCTATAAAGGGTTATACCCCTTTAATATAGTAAATATAAAGCTTTATAAGTAAATATTAAATATAATCTTTAGTGTTCTAGAATATTAAGTAGTAAAGTATATATATATACTAGGCTTTAAGAACCTTACTAGTAACCTCTATAAGTTACTTATAATTACAAAGAGTAGTGTAAGGAGTAATTAATACTACTAGCATTAAGATAAAGACCTATTAGAGGTAATGTTTATAGACTACTAATATAGCTAATAGAATTAAAGAGACTAAGGAAAAGAAGGTTATTATAGTAACTTTAGATAACCTAAGTAATACTTTATCTATAGTAAGAGTAGCTACTAGTTATTAAACTACACTAATACTAAATATTAGAAAGAGAAAGAGAGGTAGTAAGCTAGTAAGAACTATTATTTACTTCCTATAGAGAAGAAGTTTTAGGTATTTCTTACTTTATTTAAAGGAAATAATAGTAATAATAAAGAGAAAAAAGAAGACTAGGAAACATAGCTTAAGGCCTTTACTTAGGACTAAGATAATAGTAATAATAATATTAAGAAAAAGCTATTATTAAAGGCATAACTTAGCATTATATAATTCTTTTACATAGGACTATAAATAATAGATAATGTTAATATCCTTATAACGCTTAAGAATTAAGCTTTTTAACATGCCTTACTTAAGTAAGAGCTATACCTTAAAGAGGCTTCTAATAAAGATAATTTAATTTATTATACCTCTAAAGGACACTATTCTAAAGAGATCTTTAGAGGAATTATACTAGATATAGGAGCCTTAGGCTAATTAACTACTAGTCTAGCATAAGCTAAAGCCTTGCTAAGATTAATGCCATTATTAATAATTAAACCCTATAACCTAGAAGTTATTTACTTTAGTGCTAGATTAGTAATAACACGCGGCGTTATCTATATACCTATAAAGCTTAGCTAAATTAACTTCTATATTCTTAACACTACTATACCCTTTCTCTTTTCCCTTACTAATATAGATAAAATAAAGATTAGGATTAATAACCTTACTAATATGTTAATTTAAAATAATAAGACTATACCTATTATACGTAAATA